CAAGAAGTGACTCCCGTTTGAGAACTTCATCTGTCTGCTAACATGTGGTCTAATTAACACCGTAATGATTACAAAGTCCCTTATCAAATAAAAAAATACAGCAATATGATTCAAGTAGTAACTCCCGTTTGAGAACTTCATCTGTCTGCTAACATGTGGTCTAATTAACACCGTAATGATTACAAAGTCCCTTATCAAATAATCAATACAGCAATATGATTCAAGTAGTAACTCCTGTTTGAGAAACTGTCTGCTAACATGTGGTCGAATTAAGACCTTAATGATAACCTATATATATGTACGTCTTGTTGATATAAGAATGTCTCATTATTCCCAAGTCTCCTTAGATCGTTTAATATAAGAGTATGTGTTCTAAGTCTAATAGTGTAAAATATATTCCTCTCCAATTCGCTTTCCTTGTAGCTTGTTGTTTTGTTACACTAAGAATATGTATCAAGTAGAAACTTGAGCATTTAATCTTTAATAGTTCAACACTATGTTTGTTTGATAAATAACATGTAGAACCTAGAAAACCTATCACTTAAATGGTCTTGTTCTCCAAATATTTTACCTATTTATATGAATGACATAACTTTTTAAGAGTTTATGATACTTATGGAAAAATAAGTAAGCTGGTGGTTATTAAGTTATTATAACAGTTACTACATTTGTTTTATATTTCATATTCAACAACGATCTATGTTACTTTGAAATTAAATCCACTACCAGTAAATTGATAAATTACAAAGGTAAAGTAATTATTAGGATTTAAACTGTTGAAATGTTCAACCTGAATAGCACCATAGGCGCAAATGAGTTAACGGCCACGCCCAAGGCCATCAATATTCAAATATAACCGTTTTTTTATTTACTTACTAGAGGAAAGGCAGCCAGCGAACAGCCCCACTTAAATAGAGGCTTTGAATCGAATAGCGTGGCTGACTGTTACACTTATACCGCACCAACAGCTGAAAAGTGCGTAACAGATTTAGCAGCATTGTGGCGCGAAAACTAACATCTTGTTACACGCAGCCCAACTTGCTAGCTTCTAAGTCGGCCTTACGGTTTAAAAGGCAATGCTTTACTTTCGACTTGTGTACCTATAATTACTATTTATGTTCTTTGTGCTTATAGTAGAAATAATGTTTTGTAATGAAAATAATTTTTTTAGAGAAAGAAAAAAAATGCTGTATTTTCTGTTGCGTACAAAATAAAGAAAATGGAAGAATTTAAAAGAAATCGTTCGCTATGACTCCAAGCGATTGCTTACTCGCGTATTGTTCACCATTAGATTCACAGAGTTTCACTAGGCGTTGCTATGGGAGACCAAAGTTTAAGCTTCAAGAAACAAGAAAGAACTAAACTACGTAAGTTTACGTGGGTGATAAAACATGGTTAAGAGTCCTATCAACAATAATAATAATGGTTAACTAACGAAATATCAATTAAAATTTGCACTGACATAAGCGCGTGCACTCGTGTGTGTCATACATGTGTCGAATAACGTAGTCCTGAATTTCTTTTTGTTTTTTATGTGTGTCTGTGTGACATCTGAATTTCCTACATTGTAAACATCAAACTAAATGCATTAAAAAACGCTTTTTACCTCCGCCACCTAAGGTGACGGAGTTTACGTTTTCACCCCTGTGCGTGTTTGTTAGCGGATTTCTGGACAACGGCTAAATGAATTTGGACGAAATTGGTATGCATTTGGACTATGACCCAACTTAGAAGTGATTAGTTTTTGGAGGGTCAAGAGCACGAAACGTACAAAACGTAAACACCAAACTGAGTAAACGAGATAAAAACGGAACGCAAGATAAAATGTGTTGGTGATAAGGGCTTGGATTATCTATCAGCTGATAAAATGTGTTGGTGATAAGGGCTTAGATTACCTATCAGCTGATAAAGGGCTTGGATTATCTATCAGCTGATAAAATGTGTTGGTGATAAGGGCTTGGATTATCTATCAGCTGGAGAATTACATTTATTTTTGTAAGAACATCAGAAAACATTTCTATCTTATACATCGCTGTTATACACATCTATTTATAAACGTCGACCACTTATGCTGTTTTGCATTACAAAAAGATAGTTCGTGCAACGGACGAGTTCTTACTCCGCTTAAAGAGAACTTTCCAGACGGAATACAATGTACTAATTCAGTAAACCACAACCAAAAAACATTTATAACGTACCTTAAAGCTTTATTTAAAGGAAACACAAGAAACAGAATGTTCCAGTGATCATAAGCAGCAAGAAACATCACAAGAAAAAAGGTGGTAGTGATCATTAATCATTTACAGAGGAGGATATGGTAATAAGTTCGTAAACAAAAGGTAAAAAAACAACAACAACGTATAATATACATTAAAGTCTTCATTCAATCTCACCAATGTTACATGTGTTTGAGACGTTATCTATGCGACTTTCAGATATTCCAATTGAACGAATATGAATGACCGTTCTCCAGACTAGTACATATTGATTGGTTCTGCTCACTTAAGTGCTTCGCCCATATAGACATATATGGTAAAGTCTTGATTAACGTCAGAACATTACTGCTTTTCATAACTTAAACTGAAGCTTAAAGCAGCATATTATCTTCAACAATGACAACAACTGGCAGGGTATTGTCATATGATTTCATTATTAAAGCGTTAAAAACAGTAAAATTTATTTTGTTTTAGAACTGTCAAGTAATTCATATATCACACCCTGTACTTCCTTCTATAAGATTACACTTTGAATTTTAAATATTCAAAATTTCACAAAATTCGTTATGTTTGAAAATGACCAGAATCTAATTTTATAGCATTTAATTCCGTATTGAACAACGCCGCTTAGAAGGCTCAATCTGTAGCAGAAATTTTTGAAACTTAAAGAAAAACTATTTATTGGTGGTTTAGGATAATACAGGTTTCATCAGAAAGTCATCCCTCTTCAGCTCATCATCAAAAATCCTTGTGCAATAGCTGTTTTTATACACGATTTCAAAATAAATGTTATATTTTCATTGTTGAAAGTTTCACTGACTTACAAACAAGATTTTATTTTCAACTAATGAAACATTATTTATTTTAAAGTATTAACTAAACTGGTTTCATCTACAAAATGTTGTTACACACTCCAGGTTCATCGGGTAAGATTCCACACACTCTGATTTTAACTAATGAAACATTATTTATTTTAAAGTATTAACTAAACTAATTTCATCCACAAAATGTTGTTACACACTCCAGGTTCATCGAGTAAGATTCCACACACTCTGATTTCAACTAATGAAACATTATTTATTTTAAAGTATTAACTAAACTAGTTTCATCCACAAAATGTTGTTACACACTCCAGGTTCATCGGGTAAGATTCCACACACACTCTGATTTCAAGTAATGAAACGTTATTTATTTTAAAGTATTAACAAAACTAGTTTCATCCACAAAATGTTGTTACACACTCCAGGTTCATCGGGTAAGATTCCACACACACTCTGATTTCAAGTAACGAAACATTATTTATTTTAAAGTATTAACAAAACTAGTTTCATCCACAAAATGTTGTTACACACCTCCAGGTTTATCGGGTAAGATTCCACACACACTGTGATTTCAAGTAATGAAACATTATTTATTTTAGAATATTAACTAAACTAGTTTCATCTACAAAATGTTGTTACACACACCAGGTTCATCGGGTAAGATTCCATACACACTCTGATATTGTTCAATGGATGTAATTCTATTATAAGGATCACAGTTACTAAAAGTGGATTCACCGATCCTATACAACAAGATGGAAAAACAAAGCCATCATAACCGTGCTACTGTACATCAAGTATGACATTAACTACATGTGAGCAACTGCATATACAGAATGATATTAACTACTTGTGTAATACTGTGTACACAACGTGATATCAACCATAAAGTACTGCTGTATACACAACGTGATATCAACCATAAAGTACTGTTGTATACACAACGTGATATCAACCATAAAGTACTGCTGTATACACAACGTGATATCAACCATAAAGTACTGCTGTATACACAACGTGATATTAACTACAAAGTACTACTGTGTACACAACGTGATATTAACTACAAAGCGCTACTGTGTACACAACGTAATATTAACTACAAAGCGCTATTGTGTACACAACGTGCCATTAACTACAAAGCGCTACTGTGCACACAACGTGCCATTAACTACATAGTACTACTGTGTACACAATGTGCCATTAACTACAAAGTACTACTGTGTACACAATGTGCCTATTAACTACAAAGTACTACTGTGTACACAACGTCCTATTAACTACAAAGTACTACTGTGTACACAACGTCCTATTAACTACAAAGTACTACTGTGTACACAACGTTATTAACTACAAAGTACTACTGTGTACACAACGTCCTATTAACTACAAAGTACTACTGTGTACACAACGTCCTATTAACTACAAAGTACTACTGTGTATATGTGCGTGTAGTATTGTGTAATGTATCATAGTAACTATATGTGCTATTTTGTACATTATATCATATGAACTTTGTATGTACTATATCATACTGTGTGTGATATTGTATACTGTATCATAGTAACTATAAATATTGTATTGTATATACTGTGTAATTGTAACTGTGTGTTATAATATATAGTAGAACACGTGTAGTTACTATTATACAATATATAAAATAACACGAAAACAATTACTATGATGGAGCACACGCAATAACACACATAGTTATCATAATACAGTATAGCACACATACTCTGTTGTACAGTATATACAACAAAACAGTTAGTGATACAATACACACTAGCACATATATATATAGTTACTATATGCGTGTTATCGTGTATACTTGTAGCTATATGACGTTTGAGTAAGGTAGCTAATTTAACAATAGGTAGGCAAACAACGATTTATAAGCATAAGGAATAGATTTATTGATGGTGGATCATATTACGTGTTTCGACAGGACATTGGTCGGTTTTTTAAAGTATGAAGAAGATAGACCAATGTGAAACATGTAATATGTTCCACCATCAATAAAACCATTCCTTATGCCTATAAATTGTTGGTTGCCTACCTATCAATATACGATGTAAATTGTGATACAATTATCAGTAACAATATACAGTGGGGTAAACATCTACCAGTGACTATACGTTACAACATTGTGTGTATAGTTTTCACAGTAATAACAGGCCCTTACATACACACATATATTGGTGGAAGACTCAATTACTTGACGTGCACAAAACTAACCATGTGATGTGTCAGGTGATTACTTGAGCCCTAGAAATACAGGAAGAAGAAGCTCGATAATGGTTGCATGTCTAGAGGAAGGTTTTTATTAAATTCCTTTTCTTTGAACAGCTTTTCAAAGACATCTGTCATCACAGTCTATGAACCCTGACAATTGAAAGATGGTACTATGGCCGACAGACATTGATGAATAACAAAAAAAAAAAGTAAACTGCACTGGCTTATAATGAGCAACAGGGATCAAGTTGTGGCTCAACTGACCGATTTCTTCGATTATCTCTAACAGTGCAATATTACACATATTGAAAAGCCTGTTATCTGGAACTGACAGGAAGCCCACAAACCGCCTATCTTATGCAAACGGAAAAGCACGGCTCAAGTGGCGTTTAGAGTAAAACATATACACAATGGATGGCTAGAAAAATAAGTACGATATAGTTTGATATTTACACTTTAACCTTTTCTGTACTAAAGATAGATTAATAATATATAGAAAGCCAAAACACCTTACTTGTGGGGTTCTGATAGTGCAAGCTGTAGTAGTGAAGGGATGTTCTCATGGAATATATTAGATACTTTTGGTTTTTTGAAATGGAAAACAACATCGTCTCGTATTTGAACGTTGGTTCTTATCATTTCCACTCTAACGGATAAGTACGCTTTTCTAAGATGCTTCACAAAGCAGTAATTCCTCTTTTAAATAGTAGGCACTGAAAGAAATCTTTCTGAAAATGCACAAGGTACAAAAAATATAAATAACGTGAGCTAAGTTATAATAAAATGTTAATTCTACGCCAGTTGATTGTAACTGGATGTCAATGTGTTTAGTAGATTTTAAATTGATTTTAGCTCATGAAAACTAGTAACTAATTCAGTAGTCTCTGGAGCAACAACCATAGCACTCCCTGGTGTCGAGTTTATTTCCTTTAATTACCTTTTTTTCGCTTAAACATATGTCTACTTTTCTAAGGCCTTTTGTTCAATGAGGGCGTCTGGTAACTACTTTAAACCAATGGAGAAATTTGATAACAATATTTTAAACGACGAGAACACGTGGATATCATACTTCAACTAACGAAGATGTCTATTTTTTATACTGTAAACCAATTGACAAAAATAAGGACTTTACTTTTTCTGCTTTACTTTTAAGTTTTGTTGAGGTTTTATGAGACGTTAAAAGTTATGCTAAAGTTTTGGATAACTAGAACTTTGTGCCAAAGGCTTCAAATTTTAAATGAAACATATGAGCATTTTAGTTTAAAATAAATGCCATTTTAGACAGAGATTTGACTTCTCTTTTTCCTTTACTTCTTTTTACTCAAAAATAATAATATGTTGAGTTTACTCCTAGTGGCTTGGACTTAAATTCACATTAAGTGCTGAGAGAAAAATTATAACATGAAACAACATCCAGTATTCATTCTAGTCATTGTTTCTGAAGAGTTTAAATAATACTAATAATAGGGTTAATACAGACACCGGGTTATAACGTAATCATTAAGAAAAGTGATTTTTATCTTCTTGACGTCACAGCTAAGCCTAACGTCAACCTCTTATGACTTGGTGATTTACATATCTCGTCAAATCAACGAGAATGCATGCCGATTTTGTTGAACTTTTCTGGTTGAATAGCTAAATCATCTAATCTTATTATGCAACATAAAAATCATTTCTAACGTAATATTTCCTATCATTGCGTCTTGATCTATTTCCTTTAACTGACTCTTAATACTTACTCTTTTTTTATCCCAAAGATTCTTAGTCTGTTATTTATTTTTATTTCAATGACAGTGGTGTAGAAGTGAGGCGATTTTGTTTAAAAGGTAATATATAGTAAACAAGAATGCGTTAAACATTACTTTGTAATATTATAAATAATAATAACTAAATGAGGTTTTTATTTCAAAGTTCAGTACTTACTGAATAAGCTTCCAACTATCATGTTGATACCATCATCAGGCTAAATGATACGTGATAAGTTTGTTTGTTTGTTTTCGAATTTCGCGAAAAGCTACACGAGGGCTATCTGCGCTAGCCGTCCCTAAGTTAGCAGTGTAAGACTAGAGGGAAGGCAGC